CCACTTGTTCTGAGCAATAAGCTAATTGATTGAAACATTCATCATCATCCAGCACCACGTTCTGCCATGAGACCTGCCCCAAGGGGGGGATGATGTCCCAAAGAACGACAAAAAGCACTAATGAAAGGGCCATCGTTGAAAGATGGGGGAAATATTTATCTTCAACGGCACATGTTCGCTTCTCAAACAGGAAATTAATTTGTAGTTGCAGCTGACCATCTTTATTGGTTTGCTACATGATTCAGTAGTTTTATGCAAGCCACTATGACACAGACTTACAACCGTAATCAAAGGGATTGCCATGTTTGCACTTGACTAAATAAATGTAGTCAGCCAAGCTAAATTAATTACAATATATTGCTTTTGACAGCAGAATCTTGACTTGTACATTTCTGTAAATCAAACATGATTTATCATTTATTTCCAATGATGGAGGTGATGCTAAAGCATTGATTCCCTGTTGGGGTTGTGACCCCACTTACGGTCTGAGGTCTTGGGATTCTCTACAGAAATTAAACTAAACAACAAATATAATAATGATAAAGCATTTTATATGTGAAAATATATGACAACATTAAACATAGACAAAACCAAATACATGCAGACTAGGTTTTCATGCTGTTTTTATTACAAACATGTTAAAAAAGAATCCACTGGACTTGGTTTCAATTCAAAATGTCAGAATTAGCATTGAGTTCAAAGCTTTATATAGTAACTCAAAAACTTGTTTTGGCTTAGAAAACATTTAAATTGAACTGGTCTCCCCCTTTAGGAATGGGAAGTCATTTGGGCTCTTTGTTAGCCTGCAATACCCGATAATGATCTATGCCTCTGAAAGGGGAGTCTTTAGGGGGAATTGTTGGCTTGGCTGCCCAGGCGAAATGTTTTGTCACTGCATGGGGGTGGGGGGCGGGGGGGTTGAAATGATAGCACGGAGGAATGAACTCTATTGCTGCAAAAAAGCTTCCTGGATGGGAAGCCAAACGTCTTCAAAACGTCTTGAAAACCAAGTCCATTGGATTGATTTTTTTTTTACTTTTTCGGAATGACTTTGACCTGGATGACTAAGAAGCTTCACCAGCACATTTTTTTTATATTGTTCGTGATCCAACTTATAGTTTGGGTAAGGAGTCCATGCTGACACTATTTTGTCGGTCTGAAGCTAAAGTTTGGAAACCTCTGTATGAAAACCATAACATGCAGCACCAAGAAAAAAAATATAAACCACTCCAGTTTCGTTTAATTTAAAGAAAATCAGAAATATTTGGAACATTAAAGTTTGTTGATCAATAGCTTGAATGCCTTTAAAAGTTTTCCCTGAACTTTTGTAATTTTTTCGACTTATTTCCAGTCAAGTGATAAAGCCCTGATTATTGCATCAAATTCATGTTATGAGCTTTAAAGGAAGAAGCAATAATTCTACATAACCAAGTAAGACTATCTTTTCTTAATTTTCCAGATGGTAATACAACTTGAATGCCTCCTAAAGTCCAAATTTCATATGAAACGGCAAAGGGGCAACCACAAATTCAACATCCAATTTAAATAACGATTGTAATCTATATTTATTAGCATTGAGGACAGTTGTGACGTTGAGCATATAGTTTTAACAATGTAAAACTCTACAATTAAGACTAAATTTTGTACTTTGTTACTTGTTTTATTAATTATAGTCGCACCAAAGCAATTGAGTTCTGATTTCAAAACTAGAGCAGGACAAACCCCAGCTTCCTAGACAAATCAAACCTATTTCATTTAAAATAACTTCCATCCTATCTTATCCTAGAATAAAAAAAAAAAAATTTAAGATGATAAATAAACACACCAGCATCAACATATGCGTTTTTTATGTTAATGTTATTCTTACAGCTTAAAAATCTTTTCACTATGATGCAAGAAAAAGTGTGACCCTTCCCTTCATGTCGCTTTGCACTGCCAGTCGGTCGGCTAAAAGATGAGTGCAACAGCTTTTGCTTTGTCACTACCCGATCCGTCCTTTAAGCATGATCCATACCATAAGCCCATTTGCACGTGTGCAACCAGATACACATTTGGGTATCCATAAATAATATAATTATGGTACTAGAATTACTTATTTTTATCCTAAACTCACTAAAGAATGCTAATACATATCTTAAATTTTTTTTATGACTTTTCTGAGACAATTTAAATGCTTTCTACATTTTCTCCCTTAAACTGCTTGCCTGAGGTCATCATGGGACATGCTCAGAGTAGTCTGGCAAAATATAATTAACCATGTTTATCTGCATTATAGTTGTTTCTTTCTTTAGGTTATGCACTATATACAATAATGGTAACACGAAAGGAAAACATAAAACTCAAAAAGACTAGATTTATGTTTAACTCCGGTGCAGATCAGGCACAGACGAGTGATAACACAGGAAGGATTTTAAGGCATTTATTTTCTCAGTAATACATTAATAACCTTTAAAACATTAGAGTTTAGTACGCTTACTATTTTTTATGTGCAAGTGCAAATGAGCTGATGGTACTATTGGTACAATTTAAAGAGTAATATTGCTGCGAGCCAACAAGTTAACTGGAGCTAACATTCTTCTCCCACCATTCTCCAGGGGCTATATATAGATCTCCCCCTTCAGGTTTGGTGGGAAACAGTTCAATAGCTATCAGCAGTTTATAGCCTGGTGCGACTTATATATGTAGGTTTCCAGTTTTTAATTTCAAATTTAGTTGGCATGGCTTATATTAAGGTGCACCCTATAGTCCAGAAAATACGGTAAGTTGAAAGAAATGGACAAAAAATAAAACCACACATAATACGTGGGTTCTCAAATAGATCCTACAAGTAACTCTTTGATGAGCCATAGCATTAGCCTCTGCCTGAGTCTTGCTGAATTGTAGGTAAAGTCGGTCAAATGGCAGAGCAGCTGCTTTGGCTCAAATTCAGCTGCAGGAATAACTCTCCAGCTACTTTTTATGTTGACAAAAGTACGTAACATCAGTTGTATGATTAAGACTCCTATAGCAGTTTATTAGAGGCTGGAGATTTGAATTAGTGGGGAAAAAAAACAAATCTAAATGGCATTTTTTTCAAGTAGGTGAAGCATTCCTTAATCTTTCTAACCTATATAGCTAAATTTCTACCAACCACAATGCTGCAACAGATATGGCTATAGCTTACTGTAATTCCTATTTGCAGAGATGTGTAATTTATCTGTTTATCAAAGAGGCAGGACACTAATTAGCACTTGCACACAAAAAAGCTGTCATACAAGGACGAACACATGCTGCAACAAGCTACAACCTCAACGGCGTCTCATCAGTCAAAGCAAAGTTCGGATACACTGCTGCACTCATGGAACAAGCGAACGTTGCTGCCATAGGTTTTCATCTTTACACACACAGACGCGGTCAAAAGTCGCTGGCACTCTCAAAGGGAGGGGTGGTAGTACTCAGACAAAGAGTGTTTAATTATTTAAAGAGGCTCACCGCCATACATTACATCGCATGCATTATGGAACAGTTTCATTTGCAGCATGTCTGTGATATCTTACATTGGTTCACCTCAACTTAAAGTTTTAATAAACATAAATATGTCTAACCACTGGGAGCTGTTGGATTTACTGTGTTATACTAAAAAAATCCTGACCTGAAACCCTTGGCAGCCTGAGGGTGGCAATGTAATAAATCCCTTCACTTTCAAATGATAAGTACAAAACGGGACTAGAAATTGAAGGAAATTTGTGGACCTATATGTTTAAAGTAGCTGCCTGATCTTTTTCCCCATGTATATATGTTCAACTTTACAGTCGTAGTCTAAATAAATTATTTGTTTTTTATTTGTATTGCTATTATAATATTCTACCAGTCACCAGGTACCAAATTTAAACTGTAGTTTTGTTTCATGCTACGATAAATGGACAAGTAAAAGCAGTACATATGATTATAACATAATCAACATCCTTGGCTTTGCTTGTAGTAGTAGTAGCTTCATCTGGCCTGTTCCTGTTTGTCTGTGACACCATTCTGGAGAGAAATATCAGCTTTGCTTCTGCCAGCAGAATATTTGTTTATAGATGTTTTAGCTTGACCTGTTTTTCAGTGTTATCCTGTTTCTCTGACTGGATTTCCTTCGATATAAAACTGAACCAATCTGACTATGATGTGGTTGAATTCTCTCTATAATGTGCCTTGAGATGACATGTGTTGTGAATTGCTACTATATAAATAAACTGATTAATTCAAATTAAAATCAAATTAATGTGAAGGATTTTCAGCATCATACTGGACTGGATGTCTGACATCCACCTAGAAATATCTGCTTATAGTTTTATTACCCTCTCTAAGAGCTCGTAAGAGCTTCATGCTCAGGCGCACTGAGACAGGGCAATTTAGTCAGAAGAAAAACAACCATCTGTTTTCTCTCTGCTGGTGTAAAACATATTCCTTCTAACCTTATATCTCAGTCCCTATTTGCTAAATGTGTTTGTTCTGACCCTGGAAACAGACTCTCCAGACTTGAGCTGACCCTCTATGTGGTGCACCTCTTTTTGTTGGCTAACCAAACTTACAATACCTGTCTTTCAGACCTTGTTTCATACCAGGTGGTGGTGGACTAAGTGTCAACAGATAAAAACACAGTATTTTTCATCTCAGAGCAGCCTTGATGGAGGTAATAACCAAGACATGTGGTAGGTGCCTTTAATAAAACTTCATGTGGGAACATGACGTCTCTCTTCTCTGTATTCCTGGTGCTTTGCAGGTGAATGCTGCAGTCTGCATGGAAAACGCGGATCAAGGTACTTTAATGTTGATACATTTTAAAAAACAGTGTCGGCCAGCAGCACTAGTAGCAGTCAGAACACCGTCCATTTTGTCACAAGTCATGCTGAGTACTGATTTTTCTTTCAGAGCTTCATGGCAATGGGGTAGGGAAATGGGGAGGCAGGGGGTATATTACAGTTCATTTTTCCAAAGTCAATCGATCCCTGTCTGAGCCTCACGTCCGGCACACTTACCTCCATAGTGGTCAGGTTGCATCGATGGGTTCCAGCAAACCAACCGTCAGTGGAGCACTGGTCGATATCAACATCCTGTAGATTAACGTCCACCCGCACCACACCCCTAAAAGCCAGGAGGACATGAGGCTTAGAGATGCAGCTGGTGAGCTGTTCATTTTCATTTCACAGGATAAATATTAGTAACATAACCAGACACAATTTTCCCAGAATTTTTAAAAGATTCAAATGAGTAATGATTCAGGGCAGCTGAGGTGTAGGGTCCAAACTCTTGTTTCTATAGTGGTTCTGAATAAGAAGAGGATACTCTTATTTACTCTTCCAGCTCCCATATACCATCCCGCTATGCTGCAGCTGGGGTAACATATATTCAAGAACAAAGTACCACAATGTAACAACACCAAATTATTTAAAATGTGTTTTTTCTTTCTGTATGGAGACGGACAACGTCCTTTAAATGTGGAGTCTTTAGGCCAAAATGCAACCACTTTAGCATGCTTTACATGAAACTCATTTTCATGATCAGAATAGCCAAATTAAGTACACAGAGATATGAAATCAGTAATTATTAAATAAGACAATGAATGGATCCCATCCCCTCATGTGGGAACTGCTCTAAGCATTAAGCATGCTGAGGTGAGTGAAATATGTTAATTGGCATGTGCTTATACAGCCCATGTTCAAGTCTGGGGACTTTAAAGAGACACCACAACATGAACAAATGAGAGAAATCCGTATACAACTTTTAATTTCTCAATATCATATCAGCCGGAATCATACAATCTTTTATTGCCTATTTTATATTGTGACATGAGGCTTGGTCAAGTGATTAATCTCAAACAGAGAACAATAATCAACAACAACAGGTATGAGAACAGTGGCCCATTTTGTTATCCACCAAAGAGTTAATTAGCTTTTTTTTTTTTTCCCAGCGTTTTCTTGTTATTAGACGTCACAAGTACAGTGCAATGAAAGTCACTTCCTCCTCCCTTGGGGAGCAGTGGGCTGCCATTGTGCAGCGCCCGGAGAGCAGTGTGGGGTCTTTTGGTCAGGGACCCAGAGTGGCTGTCCATGGGAGAGGGTTAGGGAACCCACGCTTCCTGTTTGCATGACGGGTGACTTACCACTTGAGCTAGCCAGCCACTAGCTAGACAGAAGCTAAATACTCTGCACAGAAACAGAAGCAAAGTGTTTTTATGAGCTTTCTAATGTCGAAGATTTTAGGTTTAGGCTACTATATTGCAATATTCATATTTTGGCTGATATCCAACTGATTTCCACTATCAATATTGTATCAGGACAGTCCTAACACTAATGATGGTGATGACACACAGACTGATTCAATTACTCCTCAGGACAGACACAGACAGTGAGTATCTTCATTTTAGAACATTCAATATTATTGGATTATTGAGACATTTTTTATCTTACATGTTTGATAGAAAAGTGTGTGCTTGAATTGTTGTTTGTGTCATGATCTGGCCTGTTTGCTCCTTAATTAGTAATCCCTTTCACCTGTGGTTTTCTCTCCCTGCCTCAATTATAATTTATTCCTCTCACCTGTTTCATGTGGTTTATATTCAGTTCAGCCTGAGCATTCAGGGCCAGATCATTGCTTGTCTTTCTGTTAGCCTGTCTGTTAGTTTTGTTCCGTGGTTCGTGTCCTGGATACTGGCAGCCAGTGGAAAGAGGGTTTTTGTGTTTGTCTCGTCTCCTGCTCGTCCACTGTTCCTCCCCTGCGGAGTCCTCTGGGTTTTTGGCTCAATATGTGGGGATGTTCAGTTTTTATTCAGTAAGCCTGGCTCCAGGGAGGAGACCAGTTTAAAGTCCTGCTTCAAGTTCCGGTTCTACGTCCTGTCTCGGCTACACTCTTCCACTGAGCCTGCCTGTCTGCACCTGATCCCGTCTGATCCTGTGCGTGACCACCTGGTCATGCTTCTGGTCCCAGTCAGACTCTGAACCCTCCTGGGAGCCTGTGGATGCCTGGAAGTCTGGATCCTACCACCTGTTTCTGTTCCTGCCTGATCTGCAACCTGTTCTGTCTGTTCCTGCCTGTTCTGCATCCCTGACCAGGATCGGCTTCCAGCATGACCTCTGGGACTGCAGCACTTGGGGACATTCTTGGTCTGGACTGTTAAACCAGGTAAGTGACTCACTGGGAACATCATCTTCAGTCAGATGATCGTGGTCACTTACCTGTGTTTCTCCCCTAGAGTGTCCATAGAAACTCCCACAGTTTAAAAACATGACTGTTTTGTTAAATGGCTTCTCTAAATTCTCCATAAGAGTGATTGTGTTTGTGGATGGTTGTTTGTCTTGTTTGTCTTTATGTTGTCCTGTGATAAGACTGGCGACCTGTCCAGGGTGTTATCCTCTCGCCATAGAAAGCTGGAGATAGGAACCCCTTCCAACCCAAGCAGGGATAAATGTGACAGAAAATGGATGGATGGATGTTCCATAAAAGCAAGTCATATGTGTGGTTTATAAGTTTAAATAAACAGAACAAAAGCTGTTGGAGATTTCTTTTTCAGACCAAGAAGGACAAGACAAGGATTGGACCAGTATGATCCAGTACTGTTAATCACTAACCTCTGAGAGAATCAGCCAAGGTACACAGTACTGGGAAGACAGTGGCTGTCTGAGATAATCAGTTATTTCTGCACGTTAGGTCAGCAAATAGATGTGTAAGTAACATGCAGTCTGAAAAACTACTCTGTTTGTTTATAATATGCTTTTTACACTCATTAAAAAATAGTCTCTGAACTATCAGGGCTATATTTTTGGAGCCTAATTAGTATTTTCTTTCTTTCTCCTGCTTTCAGAGTAAGGGAATCTTAACAGAGGTCAGTCTTCCAAATGTGGACCTCCATATTTGATCTCTTTCCAGTCATCGCATTCACTTTTCATCTACAACCATTAGAAAAATTAATAGTTGTCTCTCGTGCTGTCTTTTTTTACGTTTAAGAAATAAGGAACACCTTGAAAAATCTTCTCAGGAGCAAAAGGACAAACTACCCTTAGTAGTACTGGCGTGAGCATGCCAACCTACTCCACAATATATGTGACTAAGAGAATCAGCGTGTTTCATTGAATTCACTGTCTGAAAAAAAACACAGCTGTTACAAGAGGAATAATAAATACAAAACTGTTTTAATCTTTATTTAAATGAATAAGGATCGAGAGGGGGCAACATGAGGCAGTGATGTCTAAAGCAATAGCACTGGCAAGAAATGAAAACTACTTTCATCCCTGCATAAGACCAACATACATTTCTAATTAGACCAAATAAAAACATGGTCACCATTAGAAGGGAGATTAAACCAGACTTTCTGCTGACCTAAACCTCCTTCTGTAAAAGAGGTAAACCATTTATATCTGATAAACCTTTTTGTGCAATCTCTCTATTAAACTGTTATCCTCTAGCTGTAAGTTAAGTAAAAGAAAAAGCTACTTTATTTTGCCTTTTTTTTCACTAGATTTAATTTAGATACAAGCAGAGGCTGCATAATGTAACCCTATAACCTCAGCCCACGCACACTAGTACCCTTTATGGTAAACTTTGAAATAAAGCACAGCTGGAGGCGAATGTAGATATAAAATATCTAGAAACTCAAAGCTTTGGCAAACTTAGAGGATATAAAACTACCAGGAGTCACGGTGTCATGACAGGTGAAATTTTCCAAGTTACTTACAGAAACTAAAACTCATAAAAAGAAAGATGATTGGTAGTTTTCACCAAGGTACTCTTAGAGCTAATAGTGATTACATTTATCTGTATAGGCCCTGTATTATATCTCATATAATATTGTACTGTCATGTTTCTTTGTTCATCTGCACCAATTGCTTGTACTCCTTCGAGGACCATTAAGCACCATTTGCTGAATCAGCAACATAGCCCTCTATTACCCACCAATAAAGACGAGCAAAACGCTTTGGAGAAGAGAATGAATGTGACTGTTTCACCTCAGAATCTCAGCTTTTGTAATGTTTGTGGCTTATATTCAAATGTTTTAATTAAAAAAAAACAGCCTGTTAAAACAGATACACATTAAATATTAAATAAAATCAGTACATAATTACATAAACAACAATCCCGCGCAATGTTTTCTTCAGAGCAGACTGATAGTAAAATTCATATAGCTGTCAATAAAAGTGGAAATTAACTTATTATTTTCCTACAGTGTCAAAAAGAAAGAACTTTAAAATGAATAAAAAATGAATAAAATGAATTTTCTCAGTGAAGTTTGAAGTTATGACTGCTGTCTGTTTTAAAACTGCTTTTCAAATTTTCTGTGGTATCTAGCATTTAAATGACAGAAACAGATTAAGCTTTGGTTTCAGTTGAATTTACATTTTCATTATTGCTCCAAGCACTTTGATATATGTTTTGCAGCCAGCACCCATGCATAAAGAACCAGCATGTGAAAGACTCATCCTCACAACTGTTCAACAAACAGCTACTCTTGTTCACTTCTAGCAGTGCTATTTTGTTCATCCTTCCATCCATCCCTTCATCCATCCATCCCTTCATCCATCCACCCGTCCATCAATCCATCCATCCTTCCTTCCATCAATCTTCTCTCCATCCATCCACCCATCCATTCTGCCATACATCCATCCCTTCATCCATCCAACAGTCCATCCATCCATCCTTCCATCCTCCCATCCATCCATCTTCTCTCCATCCATCCACCCATCCATCTAGCCATACATCCATCCCTTCATCCATCCATCCATCCATCCTTCCATCCATCCATCCATCCATTCATATATCCATCCTTCCATCCATCCATCCTTCCACCCACCCTTCCATCCATCACCCATCCATCCATCCATCCATCCTTCCATCCATCCATCCTTCCATCCAGCCATCCATCCATCCACCCATCCAGCCATCCATCAATTCATCTATCCATCCATCAATCCATCCATCCATCCATCCATCCATTCATATATCCATCCATCCATCCATCCATCCATCCATCCATCCATTCATATATCCATCCATCCATCCATCATCTCTCCATCCTTCCATCAATCCATCCATCCATCCATCCATCCTTCCATCCATCCATCTTTCCACCCACACATCCATCCATCCATGCA